TAACACTTCATATCTCTGGATAAGAGATATCTCGGAGGAAGAAGTTTGACCCCACTTTGACTGCCCGACCGACCGACCGACCGACCGACCGACCGACCGACCGATCTACCTACCTACCTACCTATCTATCTATCTATCTGTTTAAGCTGTGGATAACACCCCTGTGAAGTTTTGCTCTCTGTGGCCGTTTGGAAGATTTCACCTCACTTTCTTTCCCTGTGATACCATATTTCCTCGAATTTAATGCACACCTCAATTTTCAAATCCCTGGAACCAAAAAATAGTATTTTGCAGCGAATGTAATGCACAACAGCAAAATGTGTACCTGGCCATTACAGGTGTTGCCTGCTTAGAACAGCTTCTTTAAAAACAAGTGTTAGAACACCAAGCTTCGAGCAATGGAAAATAAAACCTTGGAGTGCATCTATACCAGGCACGGGAAACTTCAGCCCTCCAGATGTTTTGGACTCCAACTCCCACAATTCCCAACAGCCTACCAGCTCTTAGGAATTGTGGGAGCTGAAGTCCAAAACTCACAGAGGGCCCAAGTTTGCTTGGAAAAACCCTTCTTCCCACCTTGTCTTTTTCCAAAGCACAAGAACTGCTTTGGAGGAGGAAATTAAAATGGAATTACATAGACATAAGTATTTTTTATTATATTCTTCTTTTATCCCTATCAACTCAGCATTAAAATCTGCAATGTATACAATACATCAAGACACTATAAAACTGGGCGGGCCAAAGTAATGGGTACAGATTAAAAGTGCTAATATGACAGGTGATATGTAAGGATTATAGGGTAAGTGCAGTGTGCCAGCAATCTTATTTTCTAATAAAGTGCTTCTGGGACTTTTTATTGGCGTTTTCCTATTCTGGAAAGGCACATCGGAACAGCCAGGTCTTCAAGTTCTTTCTAAAGGCTGCCAACGTAGGGGCCTGTCTAAGGTCTTTGGGGAGGGTGTTCCAGAGTCGGGGGGCCACCACAGAAAAGGCCTTGTCTCGCGTCCCCACCGAACGTGCCTGCAATGCAGGCGGAATCACGAGCTGGTGTGTATCTATTGTGGATTTTAATGCTGAGTCGATAAGGATAAAACCAGAATATAATAATAATAATGCTGATATATATATGTATACTAGCCGTCCCCTGCCAGACGTTGCTGTGGCCCAGTTTGTGTGTATGTGTTTTGTGTGTGTGTATATGTGTGTACATATTTGTACATATGTGTATTTCTCTGGTTATGCATCAATACACATGTAGTTATGCCAAAGCCCCCAGTGTCCCAGTGGGTTAAACCGCTGAGCTGTTAAACTTGCTAACCGAAAGGTTGCAGGTTTGAATCCAGGAAGCGGCATGAGCTCCTGCTGTTAGCCCCAGCTTCTACCAACCTAGCAATTCAAAAACATGCAAATGTGAGTAGATCAATAGGTACCTCTCTGGCAGGAAGGTAATGGTGCTCCATGCAGTCATGCTAGTGGCCACATGACTTTGGAGATGTCTATGGACAATGCCGGCTCTTGGGCTTAGAAATGGAGATGAGCACCAATCCCCACCCCAAGTCGGACATGACTGGACTTAATGTCAAGGGAACAATGTGGTTATGTGCATGTGTTGTAGTGTATTTTTTATATTTTAGCTTTTAAAGTCTCTTCTGTTGTGTTTTTCAGTGTTTTAAGGAGTGATGGTCTTCTGAGGAGGCCCTGCTCTCGACCCCGCCTCTATCACAAGTGAGGTTGGCGGGGACGAGGAGCAGGGCCTTCTCGGTGGTGGCCCCTCACCTGTGGAACTCACTCCCCGGGGAGATTAGATCGGCGAATTCCCTTTTTTCTTTTAGAAAAAAATGAAGACCTGGATGTGGGACCAGGCATTTGGACATTCTGGCAGCTAAAGAAAGACCTTGATGATGAGTAGGAATTGACGAAACGGAATGGATTTATGGAACTCTGAGCGCTGAGCATAGGATTAGTTTACTATTGTGTTAGTGTATTGTTATGTACTGATGATTTTAATTTGTTAACTGTTTAAGTGCTGTTATGTATGTATGTATATTTGATATAGGCATCGAATTGTGCCTTCCTTTGTAAGCCGCCCTGAGTCCCCCCTCGGGGGTGAGAAGGGCGGGGTAAAAGTAACTGAAATAAATAAATAAATAAATAAATAAATAAATAAATAAATGGTCACTCGTTGGCTGGATAGGTGTCTTGTGTCCAAATTTGCTGTCAATTCGCCCCGTGGTTTTTGAGTTGTGTTAATTCCAGAAACGAACATTATATTTTTATTCATATATATATATATATATATATATATATATATATATATATATATATAGGATTTAATGCTGAGTTGAGAGGGATAAAATATAATAATGATGATGATTTATTTTGTTTTATTTATTACATGTGTTTCTACCCCCGCCCTTCTACCCCCCAAAGGGGGACTCAGGGCGGCCTCACATAAGCATCATGTGATGCTGTCAACATATAAACAACAAGGGTTAGAACCATAAAAATAATTAAAACACATTAAACAGATACATTGCCAAGCTTGTTAAACAATAAATTACGATGCCAGTTAAAACAAAAACCAAGTCGGGTGAATCCAATATCGCATGTGTTCTAACTTTGCTTCCAATTGTAATAATAATGGGTTGTTGTAGGTTTTTCCGGGCTATATGGCCATGTTCTGGAGGCAATTTTTCTCCTGATGTTTCGCCTGCATCTATGGCAAGCATCCTCAGAGGTAGTGAGGTCTGTTGGAAGTAGGCTTTTCCACCCAGAGGAAAAGCTTGCCATACATCAAGGGAACCACTGACCGCATAGGGAAACTGATGAGGAAACACAACATACAAACCACTTACAGACCCACCAAGAAAATCCAACAAATGCTCCGTTCAGCAAAGGACAAGAGGGATCCTCTCACCTCTGCAGGAGTCTACCAATAAGTCTACATAGGGACCACCAAACGCAGCATTGCCCAAACAAGAATCCAGGAACATGAAAGGCACTGCAGACTACTCCAACCAGAGAAATCAGCCATAGCAGAGCACCTGATGAACCAACCTGGACACAGCATTTTATTTGAGAACACAAAAATGCTGGGCCACTCTCACAACCACCATGTCAGACTACACAGAGAAGCCATTGAAATCCACAAACATGTGGACAATTTCAACAGAAAGGAAGAAACCATGAAAATGAACAAAATCTGGCTACCAGTATTAAAAAATTCTAAAATTAAAACAGCAGAGAGAAAAACAGGCAGGGACATCTAATCACCTTTCAAGAAGAGTTTGCTCCAGGCACAGTCAGCCCATTGTATGCTAATCAAGGTGGTCAGTTGAAAGATTCACACTTAGCCCAACTTACAAAAGCCCTTTGTCTCACCCTGGTCATTCCACAGATATATAAACCCCTTTTTTCCCAGCTCCACCAGACCTCACCTCTGAGGATGCTTGCCATAGATGCAGGCGAAACGTCAGGAGAAATGCCTCTGGAACATTTTATTATTTATTATTTATTTATTACTTGCACTTATTAACCGCCGCTCTCAGCCCTATGGCCATAGAGCCCGAAAAAACCCACAAGAACTGAGTACTATATTATGTTTTAATCCCTATCGACTCAGCATTAAAATCCACAATAAATACACACCAGCATTGGTATCATTATCATATCCTGCAAAGTGGCTCAGAGCATTAAAATCCACAATATGTAAGGACTGAAATAGAAGTAAACATAGACATCAATAACAGTATTATTATTGTATTGTCGAAGGCTTTCATGGCTGGAATCACTGGGTTGTTGTAGGTTTTTTATATGGCCATGTTCTAGAGGCATTTTCTCCTGACGTTTCGCCTGCATCTATGGCAAGCATCCTCAGAGGTAGTGAGGTCTGTTGGAACTAGGAAAATTGGGTTTATATATCTGTGGAATGACCAGGACGTGACAAAGGACTCTTGTCTGCTGGAGCTAGGTGTGAATGTTTCAACTGACCACCTTGATTAGCATTTGATGGCCTGGCAGTGCCTGGGGCAATCTTTTGTCGAGAGGTGATTAATGTGCCTGATTGTTTCCTCTCTGTTGTTTTGCTGTTGTAATTTTAGAGGGTTTTTTTTAATACTGGTATTAAAATAGACAAGAGTCCTTTGTCTCAGCATTAAAATCCACAATATCAGCAATATCATTATTATTATTATATTCTGTTTTTATCCCTATCGACTCAGCATTAAAATCTGCAATAAAAACATATCAGCTTTATCATTATTATAATATGGTTTTTATTCCTATTGATCCACAATATATATATATCACCATTATCATTATTATTATATTGTTTTTATCCCTATCAACTCAGCATTAAAATCATATATATATATATATATATATATATATATATATCAGCATTATCATTAAAATCCAAAATATATATACCAGCATTATCATTATTATATTCTTATATTATATTATATTATATATACACACCAGGATTAGTATCATTATCATATCCTGCAAAGTGGCTCAGAGCATTAAAATCCACAATATGTAAGGATTGAAATAGAAGTAAACATAGACATCAATAACAGTATTATTATTATTATTATTATTATTATTATTATTATTATTATTATTATCATGCCATTTCTATACTCTATAATCAGTCATGGGCAAACTTGGGCCCTCCAGGTGTTTTGGACTACAACTCGCACAATTCCTAGCAGCCTCAGGCCCTTTCTTTTTCCCCTTCAGCCGCTTAAGCGGCTGAAGGGGAAAAAGAAGGGGCCTGAGGCTGCTAGGAATTGTGGGAGTTGTAGTCCAAAACACCTGGAGGGCCCAAGTTCGCCCATGCCTACTGTATATGGTTGTTATTGTTCTATTTATGATAATAGTGGTATAATATAGGGAGGCTGGGCTGAGGCCTAGGCCTGAGGCGTCCAACAAGGAAGGGAAGCGAAGGAACGGCCTATTTTTCCCCCCCAATCCCTCCCATTCTGGTCTCTCCTCACCGGGACTCGGTCGGGGTACTTCTTGCGGATCTTCTCCCCCTCAGAGCGGCGCTTCTCGAAGGGGTGCTCCTCCTTGTAGACGAACTTCATGGCGGCGGCGGCGGCTGAGGCGACGAAGCTGACGGGCGAGGCCGGCGGAGGGGGACACAGGAGAAGGAGGAGGAGACGCGGCCCGCTCTCCACAACAGACGCCACCGCGCACGCGCAGCCCGGCCTCCTCCCCGCCTTCGCCCGCCAAGCCGCGGAGGGATACGCCCAGAGCGAGGGGACTCGTTTTTCTCCGCTACGGAAACGGCGTAGCGCTCCCTCAGGGCGCCCCTTCGTCAGTAGCGTAAGTTGCGTTTGAGAATTCAGCACTTCGCGCAGCTGGTTAATGACTGGACGGTCGAACTCCTCCCCTAGTGGCCTTCCGCCGAGAGTGACGTCACGCACCAAAACAAAGTAGTCCCGAAAGCTTTTCTCCGCTTCTCCTTCCGCCGCTCCGGATTTAAAGGGACAGACATCTTTATACCGGTATCTGATTTTAAACCGACATCTTTATACCGGTATCGGATTAAAAAAAAGAAGAAGCAAAGGAGGAACTGAAAGGCGGAAGGATCCGGGTCCGAGGCGAGGTGAGGTAAAGCGTCCTGTCATGTGGCTGACGTCAGCGGAGAGGAATTGTCACGTGCACTCACACCCCCGCGAAGTAGTCCCGGCGGGAGGGAGGGGCTGGTGACGTGAAAGGGGCGTGGCCAAAGGGTGGGGGTGGGGTTTCCTCATTGCTTCGCGCAAGCGCAGAAAGAAGAGGCTCTTCCAGCCTTGAACTCCCATCATTGTCACTATTGAGACTGGACTGGGATCAAAGGAATTGAGGATTATTGGTGGATATAGATATATTATATATATATATGTGTGTGTGTATATATAAATATTACATTAACCTATAATATATAATAATATAGAATTGTGTGTGTGTGTATATATATACACATCCACATATAATATAGAATAGTGTATATATACATCTACCAATATTTTATATATATATATATATATATATATAGAATTCTGTGTATGTGTGTGTGTGTATATATATAGGTGCATCCACATATAATATAGAATACTGTATATATACATCTACCAATATTATATATATATATATATATATATATATATATATATATATATATAGAATTCTGTGTATGTGTGTGTGTGTGTATATATATATATATATAGGTCCACCTATAATATAGAATAGTTTGTGTATATACATCCACCAATATATATAGAATAGTGTGTGTGTTAGTGTATATATACATCCACCAATATATAATATAGAATAGTGTGGATGTGTATATATAGATGCATCCACTTATAATAAAGAATAGTGTATATATACATCCACCAAAATATAATATAGAATTGTGTGTGTGTGTATATATATAGGTGCATCCACCTATAATATGGAATAACGTGTATATATACACCTACCAATATATAATATAGAATTGTGTGTGTGTATATATATATAGGTGCATCCACCTATAATAAACAATAGTGTATATATACACCCACCAATATATAATATAGAATTGTGTGTGTGTGTGTGTGTATGTGTGTGCATCCACCTATAATACAGAATAGTGGGTATATATACATCCACCAATATATAATATAGAATGTGTGTGTGTACATATATAGGTGCATCCACCTATAATATAGAATAGTGTGTATATATACATCCACCAATATATAATACAGAATTGTGTGTATATATATGTATATGTATGTATATATATGTGTGTGTGTGTATGCGTGTGTGCATCCACCTATAATATAGTGTGTATATATACATCAATATATAATATAGAATAGTGTGTGTGTGTATATATATCTATATCTATATGTGCATCCACCAATAATATAGTATATACTAGCCGTCCCCTGCCATGTGTTGCTGTGGCCAGCCTGTGTATATGTGTTTTGTGTGTGTGTATGTGTGTATATATGTGTTTGTATATATATGTGTGTGTGTTTTTGTGCATGTGTTGTATTTTTATTTTTTGTTATGTTAATCCCACAAACGAACATTACATTTTTATTTATATAGATATGTATATATATAATAGTGTGTGTGTATATATATAGGGGCATCCACCTATATTATAGAATAGTGTGTGTGTGTGTGTATGTATATATATATATGCATCCATCAATATAATATAGTGTGTATATCCATCCAATAATGTATAATATAGAATAGTGTGTGTGTGTGTGTGTGTGTGTGTGTGTATATATATATATATGAATGAATTGGGCCAAACCTCCCACACAGAAGCCCCATGTGGGCCACAGCAACGCATGGCAGGGGACGGCTAGTAAGTGTGTGTGTGTGTATGTATATATATATATATCAACTTATGTAAGTTATACATATGTTATATGTGTTTTATTATTCTATTACTGTTGCTTTATTGTGTATTGTACTCAAGGAGAGAGGGCAGTCCAAAAATAAAGTTTTATATTATTATTATTATTATTATATTATTATTATATTGGTGAATGTACAATGGATTGGTGAAAGAAGACTCTTGAAAAACAAGGAAGTATTTAGAAATAAATTGTTGAAATACAGTAAGATTAATTTAAATTCAGAGGGAATAAGGATACTACTAAGGTGATGAGTTAAATATGAATTTAGAAGACAAAATGGATAAATGGGGTTGACATGAATGTTAAATTCATGCTAGATCATAATAATGTTGCAATAGGTTGGTTTATATTTAGCAGAAGCCGAAATGCAATTTCGTAGAACAAGAAGTATATGTAATAAGTTGGTGGACTTTGCTTGAGGAGGACCAATGTAAGTTGATTTTGTTTACTATTTTATATTGCAAAGGGGGAGGGATAGAAGCTAGTTGTTAAGTGTTTGTTGGAATATTATGGAGTGATTTTTTCATACAGGATCCTTTGATTTGCTTCTTAGTTCCGTGTTTGTTGTTTCCTTTTTATTTCTGTTTTGTTGTGAAAATAAAATAAAACTTTGTTTGAAAGACGTCCAAAGCCGCAAAGGCTGTTACGGCCGCCTAGAAATCCAATCATCAGAATGCCTACGAAGGGTGTTCCAATTCCTCGCCCCCAAAAATAAGTCCCTCCTTGGGAGGAATCCTGCCACTCTCTAAGGGCAAATGGACTGCAACACCCATCATTCTGCTCCCATTTTGGCCAATGGGAGTTGTTACATCACAGGCATATAAGGATCACACAGGATAGATTTTAGAGAAACAGAAGAACGTCTGCATTGTAGAGTTAATGCAGTTTGACCCCACTTGAACTACAAAGGCTACAATGGGATCCTGGGAGTTGCAGTTTGTCGAGGTTGTTTTTTTTTGCCAAATACTTCCAAACTACAACTCCCAGGATGCCATTGCACTGAGCCACGGAAGTTCAAGTGGCGTCAAACTGCATTAAGTGGCGTCAAACTGCATTAAGTCTACAGTACAGGTGCAGCTGTACTCATCAATAGAAGCATAGTGTGTAGATCTAGGGAAGTAATGCTTCGCATGCTCTATTCCGCCTTAGCTAGACCACACCTGGAATATTGTGTCCAATTCTGGGTACCACAATTCAAGAGAGATATTGACAAGCTGGAATGTGTCCAGAGGAGGGCGACTAAAATGATCAAGGGTCTGGAGAACAAGCCCTATGAGGAGCGGCTTAAGGAGCTGGGCATATTTAGCCTGAAGAAGAGAAGGCTGAGAGGAGATATGATAGCTATGTATAAATATGTGAGAGGAAGCCACAGGGAGGAGGGAGCAAGCTTGTTTTCTGCTTCCCTGGAGACTAGGACGCGGAACAATGGCTTCAAACTACAAGAAAGGAGATTCCATCTGAACATGAGAAAGAATTTCCTGACTGTGAGAGCCGTTCAGCAGTGGAACTCTCTGCCCCAGAGTGTGGAGGCTCCTTCCTTGGAAGCTTTTAAATAGAGGCTGGATGGCCATCTGTCAGGGGTGATTTGAATGCAATATTCCTGCTTCTTGGCAGAATGGGGTTGGACTGGATGGCCCAGGAGGTCTCTTCCAACTCTTTGATTCTATGATTCTATAAGTACGGCCCTTAACTTTATAGATTTGTAGTTCTGTGTACTACAAAGAAAGATAGGGACTTTCCTTCATTGGGTACATTTGAAGAGAAAGGAAAATGCTCACAGTTGTGATAAATGCCTCACAAACCTCATGCCCAAATGACTAAATGCCAACGGAGGAATGGAATCCACTCCGGGTTTTACCCTGAATTTAGAGAAACCACTCAAAGTTCAGTATCTTGGTCTCCACTTTCAGCACCTTGGATGGCTCCTTTAAGGCGATGAGCAAAACCTGGATCAGAGTTACGACTTGGCTGAAGATAATTGTCTCACAAACCTCATGCCCAGCAGGCTAAATTCCAGCGGAGGAACAGAATCCACTCCAGGTTTTAGAGAAATCAGTCCAAGTACAGTATATAGGTTTCTACTTTCAGCACCTTGGATGGCTCCTTTAAGGAGATGAGCAAAACCTGGAGCAGATTTATGACTCAGTATCTGGGTGACAACAATGGGGAAGACACCATTTGGCAAGACCTGTTGGTAGTCAAGAGGCAGACAGGAATGGGACGGTTCCAGAAGGGGCAAAACTATAACTCCCATCTGTCTGTGGTTGCAAACAGTTCCCCGTATCCACCTCTTTTGCATCAAGCCCCTGCTTTCCTTTATCTTTTCTTCCCAGTAGAGGTTTATAAAGGAATCTGACCCCTTTGTCCTTTTGGGCAAACTTATGTCGCTGAGGATGCCTCCAGGAAACAACAGCCAGGCCATCTCTATGCAAATGCATTCACTGATTGCTGCATGGCTACTTGATTCTGTTCAAGAAGGCTCATTGCAACATTCACACTTGCTTTAAACCAAGCATGGGCAAACTTGGTCCCTCCAGGTGTTTTGGACTCCCAATTCTCACCATTCCTAACAGCCTCAGGCCCTTTCCTTTTCAGGCTGATAGGAATTGTGGGAGTTGAAGTCCAAAACACGTGGAGGGCCCAAGTTTGCCCATTCCTGGCTTAGGTGGACAGTGAGCTAGGCTGAAGGTCGGGTGCTCACCCTGACCCAGGCTCCTGTCATTGGACCGGGCTTTAGCACAGCTGGTTAATCAGCAGCAAAAGGTCTTTCATGACCAGAAGGTTGGCTGTTTGAGCCTGGGTTGGGGTTGGCTACTTGATTCTGTTCAAGAAGGCTCATTGCAACATTCACACTTGCTTTAAACCAAGCATGGGCAAACTTGGTCCCTCCAGGTGTTTTGGACTCCCAATTCTCACCATTCCTAACAGCCTCAGGCCCTTTCCTTTTCAGGCTGATAGGAATTGTGGGAGTTGAAGTCCAAAACACGTGGAGGGCCCAAGTTTGCCCATTCCTGGCTTAGGTGGACAGTGAGCTAGGCTGAAGATTGGGTGCTCACCCCGACCCAGGCTCCTGTCACTGGACTGGGCTTTAGCACAGCTGGTTAATCAGCAGCAAAAGATCTTTCATGACCAGAAGGTTGGCACTTTGAGCCTGGGTTGGGGTGAGCACTCTACTTTCCCACCATTCCTAACAGCCTGGGCAAACTTGGGCCCTCCAGGTGTTTTGGACTTCAACTCCCACCATTCCTAACAGCCTGAAAAGGAAGGGTCCTGAGGCTGTTAGAAACTGTGGGAGTTGGAGTCCAAAACAGTTGAAAGACCTAAGTTTGCCCATGCCTGCTCTTGCCACTCTCTAATGGGGTTTCTGCCCCTAAACATAGTTTGTGGATTAGGTTTCATTAGGTTTCTAATAGGCCATTAGGAATTGTGGAAGTTGGAAGTCCAAAACACCACTTCGAGCCTGGGTTGGAGTGAGCACTCGACCTTTAGCCTAGCTTACTGTCCAAACCAGGCATGGGCAAACTTGGGCCCTCCAGGTGTTCTGGACTTCAACTCCCACGATTCCTAAAAGCCGGAAAAGGAAAGGGCCTGAGGCTGCTAGGAATGGTGGAAATTGGAGTCCAAAACACTGCGAGGGCCCAAGTTTGCTCATATCTGCTCCTGCCACTCTCTAATGTGGTTTCTGCTCCTGAACATAGTCTGAGGATTAGGTTAAATTAGGTTCCCATGCAGAAAAATCAGTATTATAAACATTGCTTCCCATCTCTGTCCCCTCCTGATGCTCTTGTCACTTCCAATCCTAGGAAGAGAAACTGAATCAGGAAAAAGTTTTGAGAAGAGAGGGAATTCATAACTATTTCCCTGCTAAGTTTCAGCCAGAAAGCAAATCTTTTCGAACTTCCCCCATTAGCAATAAGAACTCTCCAGAAAGTCGGATTTAGGTGTAATTTTCTTTCCACCTCAGTTCAAGGCTATAATATTCTCGTCATTCCAGTCCTCCCCGTCCCAAAAAAAGTCCAATGGAAACGAAAACAAGGAAAGCGGGAGGGAAGATCTCCCTTCAAACAAGACCAGGATGGAAGGAGACAAAAAAAAAAAAAAAACCAAATCCCTCAAAGGGAGTGGGGTGGATTGGGGGAAAAACAAACAGAAACCAATGGCCAGTCCTAGGAACGTGTAGGGCTGCCTCCTCCTCCTCCTCCTCGCTCTTCTTCCTCTAGATTCAGAGGAGAGAGAAAATGACAACAAAGGAGAGAAATAAAAGAGCAGTAAAAGTGAGATCTTTGTACAGGGAGAGCTCGGTCTTTCCACTGAGAAATGCAGCCTCGTCTCACGCAAGTGTTCCTTGAATCTCCTTCCGGGTGGATGGCTGGCTGGCTTGTGTCGATCCCCTTTCTTGCTCGACCGTCTTCCCTCCCGCCCCCGAAACCAAGCAATGCTCGGCGTGTCACACCAACGCCCTGCTTAAGTCCCCGCCACGGCGATGGGCGTGAGGAGAGGCAAGGGCCGCTCGCAGGATCGGGGGGCTACCCAGGACACACTGTCCTCCGGCCGCGTGGCCCCCCGCTTCCCGGCCGGTTGAGTCCAGACCCCTTCGCCAATTGAGTCCGGGCGGCAATTGAGGCGGGCGCAGAGAGGTCGGGCAGGGGTCCGCGGTGGCAGGATAAGGCAGAGGTGGTGGGCCACATCCTGAAGAAAGGAGAAGCCGCCGTCACCAAAGGCGATGTTGGTGCAGGTTCCGGCTGAGCACCGACCGGACGTCCGCTGTGAACCTGCATGGCATAATATTATAATGTAATGCAATAGAATACTAATAAGAATATGGTATTACAATTATATATTTATATTACATAATTATATAATTATATAATTTTATATATATATGCTGGTCGCTTCTGTGGCGAGAGAATCAGCCGTCTACGAAGACGTTGCCCAGGGGATGCCCGGATGTCTTGCAATCCTGCGAGGAGGCTTCTCTCATGTCTGAAGCTCACCTGGGAAGGAATCCCACTGGAGCATTGCAGCGCACCCAAATACCTGGGAGTCACTCTGGACCGTGCTCTGACCTACAAGAAGCACTGCCTGAACATCAAGCAACAAGTGGGTGCTAGAAACAATATCATACGAAAGCTGACTGGCACAACCTGGGGATCACAACCAGACACAGTGAAGACATCTGCCCTTGCGCTGTGCTACTCTGCTGCTGAGTATGCATGCCCAGTGTGGAACACATCTCCCACGCTAAAACAGTGGATGTGGCTCTTAATGAGACATGCCGCATTATCACAGGGTGTCTGCGCCCTACACCACTGGAGAAATTACACTGCCTAGCCGGTATTGCACCACCTGACATCCGCCGGGAAGTAGCAGCCAATAGTGAAAGGACCAAGGCAGAGACATCTCCAGCTCATCCCCTGTTTGGGTATCAGCCAGCACGTCAACGACTTAAATCATGAAATAGTTTTCTAAGATCTACAGAGACACTCGCTGGAACACCTCAGCAAGCGAGAGTCCAAAAGTGGCAGGCTCAAACCCAGAACCTCAACCAATGGCTGATACCAAATGAGAGACTCCCTCCTGGGCACACAGAACTGGGCGACTTGGAAGGCGCTGAACAGACTGCGCTCTGGCACCACGAGATGCAGAGCCAACCTTCAGAAATGGGGCTACAAAGTGGAATCCTCGACATGCGGGTGTGGAGAAGAGCAAACCACTGACCACCTGCTGCAATGCAACCTGAGCCCTGCCACATGCACAATGGAGGACCTTCTTGCAGCAACACCGGAAGCACTCCAAGTGGCCAGATACTGGTCAAAGGACATTTAACCAGCTACCAAACTCACAAGTTGTGTATTTTTCTGTTTGTTTGCTTTGTTCTGTTAGAAATGTAATATAATGGACTGGCTGCTCTGACACGACAAATAAATAAATAAATAAATAAATATTTATAATACATGTAATATTACTAATAATCTTATTTATTTATTTGACTTGTATGCCGCCACTCCCAATTTGGCTCAGAGAGGTTTACAGCAGTAGATTAAAACAATACAATTAACTTTAAAATACAGGGTTAGTCAAAATGAATAGGCCAATAAGAAAATTAATTTTAGACGAATGTATGTTTATTGTAACCAAACTACAGCTACATAGCGACAGATAAACTATCAAAGTTTTGTCTCACCTTCAGAGATGTTCGATATGGGCGCCCCGTGTGACACGGCAGATGTCCAAGCGATAGTCCAGTTCATTCCACATCCGTTGCAGCACATCCGACGTAATGGCATCGAATGCAGCAACGTCTGGGAAGGTGTTCGTTGAGGTCCTAACCCTAACCCTAACCCTAACCCTAACCCTAACCCTAACCCTAACCCTAACCCTAACCCTAACCCTATCCCTATCCCTATCCCTATCCCTATCCCTATCCCTAACCCTATCCCTATCCCTATCCCTATCCCTATCCCTATCCCTATCCCTAACCCTAACCCTAACCCCCTAACCCTTGAAATTCTCGCTGGACCGTAATTACTGACATTGTTTTAGCAAATGTCATCACACAAAACGCCTTCTCTTTGCTTGATTCCGCCATTTTGAAAACAGCGACCCCTAGCGACGCCTAGCGGCATTAACGTACATGTGTGTTGCTCAAAAAAAACTTTGATAGTTTATCTGTCGCTACGTAGCTGTGGTTTGGTTACAGTAAACATACATTCGTCTAAAATTAATTTTCTTATTGGCCTATTCATTTTGACTAACCCTGTACATAAAAACAAGAACAGACACAGTCCCGATTTAATCACCCATTGAAAGCTTGTCGGAAGAGAAAAGTTTTACAGGCTTTCCGAAAGGCAAGTAGATCTCGGATAGTTCGGGTTTCAACTGGCAAGGCATTCCATAAATGTCTATTCCATAAGTGTCTATTACAATATAATGGTATAGTACAATACAGTAATATTTAATACTGATATTGTACTATGCTAATCTATATAAATAAAAATGTAATGTTTTTTTGTGGGATTAACATAACTCAAAAACCACTGGGCAAATTGACACCAAATTTGGACACAAGACACCTCTCCGGCCAACAAGTGACCATCACTCATAAAAACACTGAAAAACACAGCAGAAGGGACTTAAAAAGCCAAAAAGCAAAAAATACATTACAATGCATATACAAAACCACACACATATACACAAACACACATATGTCGCTGGTTCAAATCCAGGGAGCGGCATGAGCTCCCACTGTGAGCCCCAGCTTTTGCCAACCTAGCAGTTCTAAAACATGCAAATATGAGGGAAGGTAACGATGCTCCATGCAGTCATGCCGGCCACATGACCTTGGAGGTGTCTATGGACAACGCCAATTCTTCGGCTTAGAAATGGAGATGAGCACCACCCACCAGTAGTCGGACACGACTGGACTTAATGTCAGAGGAAAACCTTTACCTTTAACCTACAAAAATATACACAAACAAAACACAAATGCACAGACTGGGCCACAGCAATGCGTGGCAGGGGACAGCTAGTAATATAATATATTGTATGTAAATATATCTTGTAAGCCGCTCTGAGTCCAGGGTGAGAAGGGCGGCATATAAATGTCGTAAATAAAATAAATAAATAAACAACCCTGCAAGGAGAGCAGGAGCAAGGTTACGATCCTCCTCCTGCCATTGGGCCTGGCTTTAGCACAGCTGATTAATCACCAGCAGGAATAGATCTTTCCCAACCGAAAGGTTGGCATGTTTTCGAACCGCTAGGGTGGCAGAAGCTGGGGCTAACGGCAGGAACTCACATGGGCTATAAATAATTATTATTATTATTATTATTATCATTATAGCTTCCTTTACCTCAAGGCATCAAGCATGGGGAGCAGGTTGAGGAGCGCCGTGTCGCTGGGGTCGCTGAACCACGACTTGATGGGTATCGCATTATCTGGCAGGAAAAAGAAGAGACAAGAGTCTAAACAGGCTTTCAAAAATAGTACAGGAGCAGCAACAACAGCAGTAGTAGGAGATCAGACGCTTCCAGTGTGTTGCGTCTCAGATTAAGCTTCACCTTGCTCTCAAACACCACCAGACCACGGCTGTAAGAATTATAGTTTATTGTAAAGTTTCCAAAAGAAGGCAAAGTTTAAGTCAATACAAAGTTCCAAAGTTCAAGTAAAATGCACGGTACAATTCTAGAAATCCTTAAGAGAAAATCAAGGTAAACAAGGGTCATGAAGCAGGAAGCACAATCCCTGTGCCAAGCAATTGAGCCCAAAACCGCACAAAGAAGCCCAGGCCCCAAGCCTCCTTTCTTCCAATGCAGGAACATGAAACTGCTAGCAGAAAGCCACGTTGAAACTGACAGCTGTGAATCGCCAGTGAAAGCCCTAAATACATTTTGCACATCAAAACAAACTAATTTCCCACAATCTACTTTCCCACTGCTCCCTTGACCTGACGCTGACTTAACTTGCCTGCAATCCGCGAGCTCCATCTCACAGTTTTGTTATCTCTTTGAAGCCGCACCTGGCCCTCCTCCTTATCAGCTGCGTTCCTGTCCTGTGAGAACTGCTCTCCCAACTCGACTGCAGACTGAGAAAACTGTGGCTCAGAAAACTGAAACCCACCAGGCTGCTCAGGAGCCTGCTGAACCACAACACAGTGCATGCATCTCCTCCTATGGGGAGGCCCTGCTCTTGGTCCCGCCTGCATCACAGGTACGTCTGGCTGGGACGAGAGACAGGGCCTTCTCAGTGGTGGCCCCTCAGTAGTGGAATGCCCTTTCTACAGAAATTAGACCAGCCCCCTCCCTATTAGCATTTTGGAGGAAAGAAAAGACCTGGTTGTTTGAGCAGGCATTTGAATAGGCAGTGTAATGAATATAGGAATATGGAACAACGGATGATGAGATTGGATCTTGATTCTACCTATGAGACGCTAATGAGATGTAATATTGATGTTAATTGATTGTTTATTATGCTGTTGTTTTTATGGGTTTTAACTGTTTTTATGATGTTGAGCATTGAATTTTGCTATTGTTAACCCCCTTGAGTCGCCCAAGGGATGAGAAAAGTAGTATGTAAATGGAGTAAATAAATAAATAAATAAATTTGGGGGGCCCAGGTGTCTAACCCCAAAGGGACAGGAAGAAAGAAAGGAAGGCAGGCACACAAAGAAGCCAATGAGGAAAGTGCTTTTCCCTGCCATCGGACCCATCTGCCTCTCTAAGTCCTTGATAAGGACTGTAACCTTCTGCAGGATGTGGTTGAGTTCCAACACATTTGAGCATCACTGCAGTTCAGAATCATACAGCCTACAGCATATTCTCCTAGGTGCCATTTATGTGTATTATTCCAAGGACTTCCATGATATAATTATTTATTATTTAAAGCGGAACAGGGAGTGCACCACCCACAAGGTCCTCACATTATTTGAGGGAGGTAAACTGGCCCTGAATATCATCCCATTGGCTGTTTTTTGCCTTTTTCTGGGACTTTTTTTGGATCCAGAAGACCTTCCTCCTCCAAAAGGAAATGACAGGGATTTAATTTCCAGCACTACTTTCAGGATATAATATAATCTGGGAAGGGACAATTTTTTCCCAAAATTAAATTTTACACACACAGCTATTAAAACCCTTTTTTGCAGCACCATATCAATTTTCCAGAGCCCCCTGAACCTTCAATTTGTTCATTATGAGGAAACAAATTGGTCTCCTCAGTTAAGTGGCTGAGGGGGAAATGGAAGGGGCCTGAAACTGTTAGGAATTGTGGGAGTTGGAGTCCAAAACACCTGGGGGGCCCACGTTTGCCCATGCCTGCAATAGTGAGAAGTGAAGTCATGTTTTGTGACCATTTTGAGAGGAACTCTGAGTAAAAGTAGAGGCATTTTCATGCACTTAGGAGGGGAGTCCGGGGGAAGGAATTGCAACATCCCATCCTTTGTTATGCAAGCCAGACAAATCTGTATAAATAAAAATGTAATGTTTGTTTGTGGGATTAACAGAACTCAAAAACCACTGGACAAATTGACATGAAATTTGGACATTACACCCCTAACAGACCAACGAGTCACCATCACTCATAAACCCTTCCCAAAAAGAGCAGAAAGAACTTAAAAACCCCAAAAAAGTTAAATGACAATACAGCGCATGTGCGAAGTTGCAGATAGGTTAGATTAGGAGGACACCAGAAGCAACTTGCAGCTCAAGTCGCTCCTGACACAACCAAAAAAAAAAGCGCATGTGCGAAAACAACAGCTCCCAGCATCCCCTAGACCGGGCTTTTTAGGGGAGGAGGATGATCCAAATGCACCGCTTCCAAGCAGTAAGCTTGCTTCTCCTTGGATTTCTCTAACAGCCTCCCAATCCATACATATTTCCTATTCCTCATGGACTGCAACTCCCAGCAATCCTCCAGATCAGTGGTTCTCAACCTGGGGTCCCCAGGTGTTTTTGGTCTTCAACTCCCAGAAATCCTAACAGCTGGTAAACTGGATGGGATTTCTGGGAGTTGTAGGCCAAAAACCTGGGGACCCCAGGTTGAGAACCACTGCTCCAGATAGGTTAGATCAGGAGGACTGCTGGGAACTACAGTCCAAGAATAGGTAGAGACGGAAGAAAGGAGAGAAAGAAAAACGGAGGGGAAGGAAGGAAAGAGTTAGAGAAGAAAGGAAGGAAGGAGAGGAGGAAAGAACAAAAGAGAAGGAAGGAAAAAGGGAGGGAGGAAAGAGGGCGGGAGGGGAAGGAAAGGAGGAAGGAAGGAAAGAGGAGAGAAGGGAGAAGGAAGGAAAGAAGGAGGAGAAGGAAGGAAGGAAGGGGAGGGAGAAAGAGGGAAGGAGGGAGGGGAAAAAGAGGAAGGAGGAGGAAGGAAGGAAGGAAGAAAGGAAGGAAGGAGAAAGAAGGAAAGGGAGAGAAAAGAGGGAAGGAAGGATTAAAGGGTGGAAGGGAAGGATGGAAGGAGAAAGAGGGAGAGAGGAAAGAGGGAAGGCAGAAAAGACAAAAGGGAAGGAGGGAGGGAGGGAGGGAGGGAGGGAAGGAAGGAAGGAAGGAAGGAAGGAAGGAAGGAAGGAAGGAAGGAGGGAGAGGAAGGGAAGGAGAGAAAGAAAGGGGGAAGGAGAGGAGGAAGTGGTAGAGAAGGAAGAAAGGAAAGAGAGAAGGAAAGAAAAAAGGAAAGGAAGGTGGGGAAGGAAGAAAAGAGGGAGGGGAAAAGAAAAGGGAGGGAGGGAACGAAAAGAGGGAGAGAAAGAAGAAAGGAAAGAGAGAAGGAAAGAACAAAAGGGAAGGAAGAGAGAAGGAAAGAAAAAAAAAGGAAGGAGGGAGGGAAGGAAGGAAGGAGAGAAAGGAAGGAAAGAAAGAGGGAAGGTTGGTCACAGCAACGCGTGGTGGGCACAGCTAGTGTAATATAAAATTATAAACTCTGTATTAAAATAAAAAATGAAGAGAAGTTTGAGGATCTCCTACAGTTGCCTGCTAATCACTGCTCACAATTGGGAAGGAAAGCGTTAAGGCCCTCTCGGCCTGCAGGGGGCATCCTTGACCCGCTTCTTCATAGCTTCTGCTGTGGTCAAGACAAGGCCGAAGCTGCCTTGGCCAAGTGGTTGCAAGGATAAGGTTCCCAGTTCTAAGTATTTGTACTGTCTGGACTAAGTGGAAAGGGATTCTGGGAGCCAAAGGCCAAAAAAGTGAATTTTCCTCCATGTAACCCTATGCACAACATCCTGAGTTCCACAGAGAACTTTCCACAGGACCAGGAACAAGCAGGAGATGCCATAGGAAGGGGACGCACCAACTCTGTCTCTGACCAAGCAGAGCCCGCTTCCCATTACGGAGTTGGAGACAGGGCAAGGGATACTTTACCTGGATGGCTCCTATAGGCCCCTGGCGAATTGTCCAGGATGACTATGCTGGAGAGGTCGGTGTGCACGACCGAAAGATCCTTGATATAACTGCCCAGCTCCAAAGTGCAATGCTGAAAGGAGACACACGAGGACAGCAGAGTTAAGACCTTCATATCTTGCGAGGAAATGGTCTCATTATGAGTTTGTAGGCCCTCCAGACAATCCTATGCTATGCTATGTTTCTCCTGGAAAGTACCCCCAGATCTGGGTTGGAAGACATCCTCTAGAAATCTCTAGGTTCTCCAATGTAATAATCATCATCATCATCATCATCATCATCTTTATTTATACCCCGCCACCATCTCCTCTATGGGGACTCGGGGCAGCTAACATGAGGCCAAGCCCAGACAGTAATTACATAAAATAAAACCAAAAACGCAAACAATAAACAACAACAACGTAATTACATAAAAAAAATGAAAACATAGTAATATAAAATTACAATAGGCACAATTACAATGACAGTGTAGTTCTATAGTGTGATGGGATTGGAAATTAGGTGATTTTACGGCACCCAGTCATAGCTGCAGGTTCAGGTAATTGCAGTCCAGTTGGAAATGGATCCCCCTGTGAACATGTTTTTTTTTTTTTACTGTATAAGAAGGAGCCCCCAGTGGCGCAGTGGGTTAAACCGCTGAGCTGCTGAATTTGCTGACCAAAAGGTCAGTGGTTTGAATCTGGGGAGTAGGGTCCCCAGATTCTCCGGCTCCGGCCCAGCGTACCTATCCGAGCGTATCTCCTTCTACATCTCACCTCGGAGTTTAAGATCTGCTGGGGAGGCCCTGCTCTCGGCCCCACCTTTATCACAAGCGAGACTGGTGGGGACGAGGGACAGGGCCTTCTCGGTGGTGGCCCCTCGCCTGTGGAATGCACTCCCGGGAGAGATTAGGTCATCAACATCCCTCCTTGCTTTCAGAAGGAAGCTAAAAACCTGGATGTGGGACCAGGCCTTTGGGTAAGCTGGCAGATGGACAAAGACAACCAATGATGACCAGAGTAAGAAAGGACAATGACGATGTTAGATGGATTACGGATCATGAATTGGCGAACATTGACCACAAGATGATTTTATTGCTGCTAGTGTACTGTTTGATTGTTTTAATTAGTTATACTGTTGACATTATATGATAAATTTGGGTATTGTATTTTGTATTGTATTTTGTGAATTGTTAGGCATCGAATTGTGCCTTTTGTAAGCCGCCCTGAGTCCCCCCTAGGGGGTTGAGAAGGGCGGGGTAGAAGCACCCCAAATAAATAAATAAATAAATAGGGTGATCTCCCACTGTTAGTCGCAGCTTCTGCCAACCTAGTAGTTCAAAAACATACAAATGTGAATAGATCAATACATATCACTTCTGTGGGAAGGTAACGACGCTCCATGCAGTTATGCTGGCCACGATGACTTTGGAGCTGTCTACGGACAACGTTGCTCTTAAGTCCAGTCATGCCTCCAGAGTTGGACACGGCTGGACTTAATGTCAGGGGAAAACCTTTACCTTTACTAAGAAGGGGAAAATCTCAATTCTTGCTTGAATTAGACCCCAGCCCCCATTCCTAAGGGAAAACCTTTCCTGATCAAAAGTGGTTCTTAATCTCTTTGAAGCCAGGGGCCTCTCTGATCATTCCCAAAAGAAAATGAGTTCTTTCCACAATATGGTGATGAGGATGACTGGGTGATATTCCTGACCATGTATAGTACAGGCATGCGCAAACTTCAGCCCTCCTCCAGGTGTTTTGGACTTCAACTCCCACAATTCTGGTGTGGTGATGATTAGTATTATTATTATTGTATTATTCTGATTGTTATTTCTTCTAACCCACTTTATTTCCCTTAAAAATAGACCCAAAGCATCTAATAATAAAAATAATGCAATATATAATTTGAAACTCAAAACAAAATCATATAAATCAGGTATGGGCCAACTTTGGCCCTCCCTCCAGGTATTTTGGACTTCAACTCCCACAATTCCTAACAGCCTACCGGCTGTTAGGAATTGTGTGAGTTGAAGTCCAAAACACCTGGAGGGAGGGCGAAAGTTGGCCCATGCCTGATATGGTATGCAGGATGTCATGCCATCATACACATATGAGGAGTGAAAGAAATACTTTAAGAATGCAATTTGATACAATAATGTAGTTTGATAATTTTCGAACTAATAGGAAAGATATCAAAAGGGGCAGGGATAGTATTTTCCCCATTTGATTGACAGATGCCCTGAGGCTCATTTCTTATTTCTTATTTATTTATTTATTACATTTTTATACCGATCTTCTCAGCCCTCAGAGCGACTCAGAGCGGTTCGCAACCACAATACAATACATAAAACATGATTTCCTAGGTATATATGGAGCACAGGTTGAGAATCACTGCAACATGGCAATGGGAAGGAGAGGCTGGCATCACCAGCTGAAGGAAAGGCCCGCTTTGGGCAGCAGGAACTTCAGCAAAGGCACCAGAAAATGTGGGCAGCACCCAAGGTAAATATTTATTTATTTAAATATTTATGCCCTGTCCTTCTCGACTTCCAAACAGGCAACAATTCAATGCCAAACATAATATGAAACACAGAAGCACCGGGACTGTGGCGCAGCTATCTGACCACAAGGTCATGAGTTTGAAGCCAGCTGGGTCAGAGTGAGCTTCCGACCAATTGTGTAGCTTGTTGTCGACCTTTGCAAGACAGTTGCATCTGTCAAGTAGGAAAATTAGGTACCACCTATGTGTGCGAAGGCTAATTTAACTAATTTACGAGGCCATAAAAAATACTCCTGCAAAGCACTCCAGCAAAAGCATGTGGGGAATGCGGAAGTACTTCATCAGTTTCACAAATGGACAATGAAAGTGACAGCTCCCCTGGTGGCCAGAAAAAGTTAAACAGCCTCTGACTGTTTGTCTATATCTGTTGTGTGTCTTTGGCATTGAATGTTTGCCAAATATATGTACATTTTAATCCGCCCTGAGTCCCCTGCAGGGTGAGAAGGGCAGAATATAAATACTGTAAATAAGTAAATAAATAAATAAATAAATAAATAATAAGAACATCTATACAATTAAAATTGTTATAAATATACATTAAAATCCGCTTGTCAGATTAAAACCGCCAGCATTAAAATCGTCGTCCAACAAAGTCCAAGTATGGTCTAATAACAACTCGTCTTTCCCAGTAAACACAATATTCTGTGAATGCTTGATCCCATAACCAGGATTTAAGCTTTTTCCAGAAGGTCAGGAGGGAGGCGGCTGATCTGATCTCATTGGGGAGGGAGTTCCACAGCCGAGGAGCCACCACGGAGAAGGCCCTGTCTCTCGTCCCCACCAAATGCAAATGCAATGGCGGTGGGACCAAGAGCAGGGCCTCCCCGGATGATCTTAAGGTCCTAGATGTTGTCTACTAAATAATAATTCTGCCCACTGTAAAATTTCCCCGCAGTTTCCAAATTTCTAGTAATGCAAATGGTGGGAGACATTGTTTTAGTTTATTAAGTTATAATTTGTGCTTATATGTTGGGTTGTATAAATTTTGCTAATATGGATGTATTGTTGTATTCGGGGATTGAATGTTTGCCTTTTATGTTTGGAATCCGCCCTGAGTCCCTTCAGGGAGATAGAGCGGAATATAAATATATACATGTAATATTTATAGTATTATAATGTAATGCAATATAATACTACTACTAATATGATATAATTATATATTTATACTACATGTAATATCACAATATACTAATATTTAATACTGATATTGTACTAAGCACTACATTATAACTTACCCGTATTTCATCGCATATTTCATTGCCGGGATTTATAGTTCACCTACAACCACAGAGCATTCTGAATCCCACCAACGATAGAATTGGGCCAAACCTCCCACACAGAACCCCCATGATCACCAAAGTGGGCCACAGCAATGCGTGGCAGGGGACAGGTAGTTATAAATATATATTTATATTACATGTAATGTTACTAATAATATTACAATATAATGGTATAGTACAATATAGTAATATTTAATACTGATATTGTACTAAGCACTATGTTATAACTTACCCGTATTTCATCGCATAATAGTCGCACTTTTGATCCCCTTTTAAATTTAATATAATGTAATATAATATATGGCAATATATTGTATATACGTCTAATATTTATAATATTATAATGTAATACAATACTACTAATATGATATTATAATGATATATTTTATATTACATGTAGTATTACTAATAATATTACAATATAATGGTATAATACAATACAGTAATATTTAATACTGATATTGTACTAAGCATTACGTTATAACTTACCCATATTTCATCGCATAATAGTCGCACTTTTGATCCCTTTTTAAAATTAATATAATGTAATATAATATATAACAATATATTGTATATACATCTAATATTTATATTATTATAATGTAAAACAATACTACTAATAAAATGATATTATAATTATATATTTTATGTTACATGTAAAATTACTAATAATATTACACTAAGCACTATGTTATAACTTACCCGTATTTCATCGCATAATAGTCGCACTTTTGATCCCCTTTTAAAATTAATGTAGTGCAATATAATATATAACAATACATTGTATATACATCTAATATTTATAATATTATAATGTAATACAATACTACTAATAATATGATAATATAATTATATATTTTATATTACATGTAATATTACTAATAATATTACAATATAACGGTATAGTACAGTATAGTAATATTTAATACTGATATTGTACTATGCTAATAATATAATATATTGTATGTATATATACCTTGTAAGCTGCTCTGAGTCCCCTTCGGGGTGAGAAGGGCGGCATAGAAATGTCGTAAATAAATAAATATGATCTAGAACTCTTTTATTGGCCATGTTCACATTCACTTGGCCGGTCGATTACCTTTGGATGCTGAAATTCTATTTTTCAACCCTCAAGGGAAGTAGCCTGTGACCACAGTGCTAGACATTTGGGGACTGAAAGGACAGTTCATGGGGTCAGCATTCTCATGGCTTCAACCTGGCAGCACCTGAATGGATTTGCAAAAAGCGAAAAGCCCACGCGGCTTCCTCCGCTTCTTCTTTTGCAGCTGATGAGACAGAAGCCAAAACAAGAAGCAGGCCACTCTGTTTTCCTCTCCTGAGTCTGACGAGTGGTTGTGCCACAAAGGCAGTCTTTTCCTCTCTTTTCCTCTATGGCAGACCTATTGGAAACCCAGCAAACGAGGGGAAAGATCTCACCTGTCTGTAGTATCGCCTCTTTAAAATGCTCCTGTTGTTGTCCAGCTTGTCCGCCACGGCCGAGCCGTAGATTTCCATGCTGGCTGTGAAGACCACGAGTTCATACCACTGGCTCACCTGGGAAAGGCCAAAGGGAGGGGCGGTTAACATGTCGGAGTGTTTTTCCATCCTGTTCTTTGACATCCACTCCCCCCACTTTCTCCAAAGGCTCCATGCCAACACAGCTCTGCCTTCCCTCAATTTTTTTTAATTTTTTTATCGTGTCATCCGCAACCAGAACATTGTATTACATTTCTAACAGAACAAAACAAACAAACAGATTAAAAACAACACAAATTTTGCAAACTTGGTAGCTGATTAAATGTCCTTTGACCAGTATCTGGCCACTTGGATTGCCTCTGGTGTTGCCGCAAGAAGGTCCTCCATTGTGCATGTGGCAGGGCTCAGGTTGCATTGCAGCAGGTGGTCAGTGGTTTGCTCTTCTCCACACTCGCATGTCGTGGATTCAACTTTGTAGCCCCATTTCTGAGTTGGCTCTGCATCTCGTGGTGCCAGAGCGCAGTCTGTTCAGCGCCTTCCAAGTCGCCCAGTCCTCTGTGTGCCCAGGGGGGAGTCTCTCATCTGGTATCACCACGATTGAGGTTCTGGGTTTGAGCCTGCCACTTTTGGACTCTCACTTGCTGAGGTGTTCCAGCGAGTGTCTCTGTAGATCTTAGAAAACTATTTCTTGATTTAAGTCGTTGACTGGCTGGCTGATACCCAAACAAGGGATGAGCTGGAGACGTCTCTGCCTTGGTCCTTTCACTATTGGCTGCTACTTCCCGGCGGATAGTGTAATTTCTCCAGTGGTGTGGGGTGCAGACACCCCGTGATAATGCGGCATGTCTCATTAAGAGCCACATCCACTGTTTTAGCGTGGTGAGATGTGTTCCACACTGGGCATGCATACTCAGCAGCAGAGTAGCATAGCGCAAGGGCAGATGTCTTCACTGTGTCTGGTTGTGATCCCCAGGTTGTGCCAGTCAGCTTTCGTATGATATTGTTTCTAGCACCCACTTTTTGTTTGATGTTCAGGCAGTGCTTCTTGTAGGTCAGAGAACGGTCCAGAGTGACTCCCAGGTATTTGGGTGCGCTGCAATGCTCCAGTGGGATTCCTTCCCAGGTAATCCTCAGAGCTCGGGATGCTTGTCTGTTCTTAAGGTGAAAGGCACATGTCTGTTTTTTAGATGGATTAGGGATCAGTTGGTTTTCCCTGTGATAGGCAGTAAGAGCACCTAGAGCTTCGGAGAGCTTCTGTTCAACCATCTCAAAGCTCCCTGCTTGAGCGGTAATGGCACGATCATCAGCATAGATGAAACTCTCTGTCCCTTCTGGCAGTGGCTGGTCATTTGTGTAGATGTTGAACATGGATGGAGCAAGCACGCTCCCCTGAGCAACCAGAGACGACTTCCCTCAAATTAAGACTTGCTTACAACCCTCATCTGAATCCCAAAGAACACCAATAATGCCACAAACTCCTTCCTTTTGGACCTTTGCCACTCCTTCTGTGGCAGGGATTTAGATTCCTTCCCCCTTTCCAGCTTGAATAAACTGATTATACTAAAGCACTAAAAAAATGAGGAGGAAACCCTTCTTAATCCTGCCAAAATCTTGGGAATGGGCAGTTGCATTGCACAAGTCCTTGGCAAATCCATGGCTGAGCGTTGTTATGGTTATCCGGAGAGGTAAGCTTGGAGTTGGAAATGTTAAAAGGCTATTTCCCCATTCGGAGCTCTAGTTTAGAGGCTGCAGTTGCAGCCATTCCCTTCTCGCCATCACTATCCCATGTCCTATTCTCCTATCCTCAGCACAGTTGCCTTTAGGAAGAGACGTAGGCTTTCTTCCTGCAAGCTTAATGCAGAGGGCAAGTAGACAAGCTGGCCAATCCAGTCGGGCTGTGGTTCCAATGGGAAAAGGCAAGGGCAGGGCAGCAAATGGATCATATACGCTCCCAGGAGGCCAGAAGAACCACTTCCTGGAAGATGGAGGTTTGCATCACCAAGAAGGTGGCCACACAGGCTCCAAACAGTGCTGTTGGCTTAGGCACATTCCAGCTTCCCATCTACTCTAGTGACCAACACCTCAGTCTTTCCTGTTCTGACCATGCAACACACAGACCTTAATAATAATAATAATAATAATAATAATAATAATAAGAAGAAGAAGAAGAAGAAGAAGAAGAAGAAGAAGAAGAAGAAGAAGTGCCAGCAGCAAAGAATTGGTGGGATCATTCATAATTCATTACATCCTCGCAGTGATGTTGACCGGCTCTATCTGCCTAGAAAGTCTGGTGGCAGAGGACTTTTACAAGTAAAGCAAGCAATCAAAGAAGAAAAATGCCCTGGCAGAATATGTCAAGGAAAGCCAAGAACCTGCTTTAACGGAAGTCAATAGGAAACTTCTCAAAGCACAGCAGACAAAGAGTCAGTACAAGAAAACTGCACTCCAAACCAGAGCTGACAGCTGACACAACAAAGCATTGCATGGGCAGTTCCTTGACAAAATTGAAGGAAAAGTTGACAAGGAGAAGACCTGGTGATGGCTCACGAATGGAACCCTGAAGAAGGAGACAGAAGAAGGCCTGGTTCTTGCAGCCTGGGAGCAAGCCATCCGAACCAATGCAATTAAGGCCAGGATTGAAAAATCAGAGGATGAACCAAAATGCAGACTGTGCAAGGAAGCGGATGAAACCATGGACCATCTCCTCAGTTGTTGCAAGAAAATCGCACAGACGGACTACAAACAAAGACACAACTCTGTGGCCCAAATGATTCACTGGAACTTATGTCACAAGTACCACCTGCCAGCAGTAAAGAATTGGTGGGATCATAAACCCGCAAAGGTCATGGAAAATGAACATGCAAAAATACTGTGGGACTTTCAAATCCAGACTGACAAAGTTTTGGAACACAATACACCAGACATCATTGTGGAAAAGAAAAAAGTCTGGATGATTGATGTCGCCATACCGAGTGACAGTTGCATTGAGGAAAAACAACAGGAAAAACTCAGCCGCTATCAAGACCTCAAAATCGAACTGCAAAGGCTCTGGCATAAACCAGTACATATGGTCCCAGTGGTCACTGGCGCACTGGGTGCCGTGCCAAAAGATCTCAGAGTTTTCTTAAGGACAAAATCACGATCTGTCAACTGCAAAAGCCCACCTTACTTGGATCTGCGCGCATCATTCGAAAATACATCACACAGTCCTAGACGCTTGGGAAGTGTTCGACTTGTGATTTTGTGATACGAAATCCAGCATATAGATCTCGTTTGCTGTGACATACTGTGCTTTTGTGTCAGTAAAATAATAATAATAATAATAATAATAATAATAATAATAGTAACTTTATCAACATATTAAAATAATGTAAACAACAATCCATATACATCGAAAATGCAGTGTAACAGACATAGGAATATGGAACAACTAGATGATGAAATTGGACATTTTAACTAGGAGATGCAAATGATTTATGTCTTATTGATTTTGTTATGGTTTTATATTAGATGTTAATGTTTTTAAATGTTGCCAATTGTTGCCTCTGCAAACCACCTTGAGTTGCCTGCGGGCTGAGAAGTGTGGTATACAAATATAGTAAATAAATAAATCGATAATTAGTATAAAACATCATAAAATAGGCAGTTTAAAACAACAATAATATACATTCACATTCTTATGGCATCATGTCAGATTATATTTCATTTCCTAATCCTCCTTTCTTGACCTTTTTGGAAAGCCGTGGCTCTTCTCCCCTCACGAATTAAGGAAGGAAGGTAGGAAGGTGATTTGTTAAGAGGTGGAAGAACGTCCTGTTATAGTAAGACAGATTTTAACAGGACGACAGTGTGCCTTGAAAGATGGCAAACTCTTCAATTTTTGTGGTTTGTAAACAGAGGCTGGAGGACTATTTGTCTGCAGACTTTACGCTACAGATTCCTGAACAGGCAAATGGCTGGCCTGGAGCCTATCACTCTGGGGGTCTGATGGGCTGCATCACTCATCTAAAATAATAATAATATATAATGGTGATGATAATAATAATAATAATAATAATAATAATAATAATAATAATTGTTATTATTATTATTATTATTTACCAGCCTGTCCTTGTGGCTAAAAAAAAACTGATCAAAAATCTCTTCTAGGGAGCTGCTTTAGGCTGAATTGAGATTTTTTTTAAAAAAGATATTATTATTATTATGTTTATTTATAGCCTTCTTTTTCTCTCAAAGCAGCTAGGAAAGGCTCACTTCAGCCTAAAAGTCCCCTAGAAGGGATTTTGGAGCAGTTAGTTTTTAGCCACAAGGAGAGGCAGGTAATAAAGTATTGCTGTTTTCATCATCATAATTACATCACCATCATCGTCATCTCAAAACATAAACTTAAAGAAAAGGTCCTACAATTATCTAGCAGGGGTCAAAAGCCTGGGGGCAGAAAGTTCTTTGGACAAAAACAATTCTAAAAGAAAATGCACACTTAGGAAGACATAGGTCAAGCCTTTGGGGCAGTGCAATAAGGTAGCAATAAGAATTTTACTCTGTTGATTTGAGATGGCTCGAACAATTGATTTTAAAAATGGAGAGGGCTGGTTTTAATTTATATGATTTATATTATATGTTAATGTTTTAATTATATTTTATGTTATTTTGCCATTTGTAAACCACCCTGAGTCACCTCTGGGCTGAGAAAGGCGGTATATAAATATGGTAAATAATAATAATAATAATAATAAAAATGTTTATGCAGATCATAGAATCATAGAATCAAAGAGTTGGAAGAGACCTCGAGGGCCATCCAGTCCAACCACATTCTGCCAAGAAGCAGGAATATTGCATTCAAATCACCCCTGACAGATGGCCATCCAGCCTCTGTTTAAAAGCTTCCAAAGAAGGAGCCTCCACCACACTCCGGGGCAGAGAGTTCCACTGCTGAACGGCTCTCACAGTCAGGAAGTTCTTCCTCATGTTGCAGATGGAATCTCCTCTCTTGTAGTTTGAAGCCATTGTTCCGCGTCCTAGTCTCCAAGGAAGCAGAAAACAAGCTTGCTCCCTCCTCCCTGTGGCTTCCTCTCACATATTTATACATGGCTATCATATCTCCTCTCAGCCTTCTCTTCTTCAGGCTAAACATGCCCAGCTCCTTGAGCTGCTCCTCATAGGGCTTGTTCTCCAGACCCTTGATCATTTTAGTCGCCCTCCTCTGGACACATTCCAGCTTGTCAATATCTCTCTTGAATTGTGGTGCCCAGAATTGGACACAATATTCCAGGTGTGGTCTAACCAAAGCAGAATAGAGGGTAGCATGACTTCCCTAGATCTCCTTAGATCTATAAATTATAATTTATTGTTTATTGAATGTTTGCCGTATATATGTTGTGCTCCACTCTGAGTCCCCTGCAGAATGGGAAGGGTGCAATATAAATGTTTTAAATAAATCAATAGGTCCCAAAGACCACACTTTCCTCAGCAATAAGCATCCACTTATCACACATAAAGTTTTTCTGTACAGCAGGGATGTTGATTTTGGTATCAGAAGGGGAGCCAGCCCACTTTAGACCCTTGATAAGAAAAAGCAAGTCAAACCAGAAATGGGCAAAGGGAGAAGATGCCTTACCACTTCTAGAAAAAAGTCCACATGCGGCCTCTTATGTACAAAAAAGCGGACTGGGTGCTTGTCGATGACGACCTTGAAAAAAGGGAGGAACAGAAATACTTTAACTTTTGTTATAAAAACAAAATCAAATCTTTTAAAATCAAAATCCCAGGACCTTCCTGAACATCCAATTATCTTTTATAAATATTTTAATTTTAACCGTTGTTATAAAAATAATTTCAAAAGAACCTGAATCTTTTAAAACAATACATGATTGAAAACTCTAGGATTGCCCATATCACTAGCTGTTTGCAACCAAGCTTTGCATCTGCCTCGCACCTCAGAAACTTCTTGATAGAATGACCATGCACCAGATGTGGGATAGGACATGCTAATTTTGGAGAAAGAGGGGCTTCTGCCTTCCACTGATCTATTGGCCTTCAACTCCCCTCATTCTTGGTGGCTGCTCCTATTGTCTGGGGAAGGCAGGCAGTACCCAATGGGGATCAAGTTGGAAAGGCTAATTTCATAGACTTAATTAAGATGAGCTTCTTTACTGGGGAATTAACACACAAGGCCCTTCTCACTCTTATCTAGCCTTCAGACCATGAAAAAAATATTTCTGAGGAGTTCAGAAGAATACACATATCTTACTAATGCAGTGTTTCTCAACCTGGGGTCGGGACCCCGGGGGGGGGGGGGGCAGGGGGGGTCAGGGGGGGCACCCAATGCCCATATAGCCCGAAAAAACCCACAAGAACTGAGGAAGCTTGCCATAGATGCAGGCGAAACGTCAGGAGAAATGCCTCTAGAACATGGCCATATAGCCCGAAAAAACCCACAAGAACTGACAGTATTTTCTGTTGGTCATGGGGGTTCTATTTGGGAAGTTTGGCCAAATTCTATCGTTGGTGGGGTTCAGAATGCTCTTTGATTGTAAGTGAACTATAAATCCCAGCAACTACAACTCCCAAATGTGAAGATCTGTTTTCCCCAAACTCCACCAGTGTTCACATTTGGGCATATTGAGTATTCATGCCAAGTTTGGTCCAGATCCATCATTGTTTGAGTCCACAGTTCTCTCTGGATGTAGGTGAACTACAACTCCAAAACTCAAGGTCAATGCCCACCAAACCCTTCCAGTATTTTCTGTTGGTCATGGGAGTTCTGTGTGCCAAGTTTGGTTCAATTCCATCATTGTGGATTTCAGAATGCTCCTTGATTGTAGGTGAACTATAAATCCTAGCATAACTACAACTCCCAAATGACAAAGTCAATCCTCCCCCCCCCCCCCCCCCCCAACCCCACCAGTATTCAAATTTGGGCATATCGGATGTTGTTGTTCATTCGTTCAGTCGTCTCCGACTCTTCGTGACCTCATGGACCAGCCCACGCCAGAGCTCCCTGCCGGCCGTCACCATCCCCAGCTCCTTCAAGGTATATCAAGGACATATCGGATATTTGTGCCAAATTTGGTCCAGTGAATGAAAATACATTCTGCATATAAGATATTTACATTACAATTCATACAATTACAGTTATGAAGTAGCAACAAAAACAATGTTTACGGTTGGGGGGGTCACCACAACATAAGGAACTGTATTAAGGGGTCGCAGCATTAGGAAGGTTGAGAAACACTGTACTAATGAATGCACATCTTCAAAAACTATTATTTTCAGTCCTCACCGTAGCTTCTCACTCCAGGTCTCCTCACACTGAGGCCTTCTCCCACAGAGACCTCTCACAGACTGAGGGCTACTAAGCTACAGGCACACCTGCTTATATTGGACTGCAACTTTTACTGAGTCATTGCATCCATTTAACTCTTTCAGTGCTTGACTCATATTTTTGTAATTAAAAATACCTAGGTTCTTGTGGGTTTTTTCGGGCTATAGCCATGTTCTAGAGGCATTTCTCCTGACGTTTCGCCTGCATCTATGGCAAGCATCCTCAGAGGTAGTGAGGTCTGTTGGAATTAGGACAATGGGTTTATATATCTGTGGAATGACTGGGGTGGGGCAGAGCTCTTCTCTGCTGGAGCTAGGTGTGAATGTTTCAACTGACCACCTTCATTAGCATTTGAAGGCCTGGCTGAGCCTGGGGGAATCTTTTGTTGAGAGGTGTTAAGATGTGCCTGGTTGTTTCCTCTCTGCTGTTTTGCTGTTGTAATTTTAGAGTTTTTTAATACTGGTAGCCAGATTTTGTTCATTTTCATGGTCTTAACACCTCTCAACAAAAGATTACCCCAGGCTCAGCCAAGCTTTCAAATGCTAATGAAGGTGGTCAGTTGAAACATTCACACCTAGCTCCAGCAGAGAAGAGCTCTGTGCCCCACCCCAGCCATTCCACAGATATATAAACCCATTTTCCTATACATTAAAAATACCTAGTTAATATTTAATATTTCTGATGTGTGTGTTTAAAATCAAATGAGAAGGAGACATCTGGCCATTTCATTCTCCATTCTTCCCCCATATCTCTACCCCTTTCAGAAAAGCCCTTCCTTCACCCTGGGGCTTCTCACCTTGAGGATGAAGTCGGGGGGAGTGCCGGGCCTCACTGTTGGCCGCAGGACCCCGTCGTGATGGGAGTGGATCAACGTCTCGTCCAGATCCAGAACAAGGATCTTTCTCTTCACTTGATCTGTGGTAGGAAGGAGAAGAGAATAGATGAGACGCAGCACAGAAAGTATGATTAACTTTTCATCAACATCCCCTTCACCAAGCCATTCTAGTCAGCGTTGTGAAAATTTACTTTTTTGAACCTCAGCTCCCAGTATCCTTCCTCTGGAACCTTTTCCCGAATGACACCACTTTCCCCCCACTCAACATCTAGCACTTTGTGACAACCCCCATATAGAAGGTTGGGAAAGAGTGGACATTTTTGGAGTACAACTCCCAGAATCCTCAAACCACAACACTCAATGATTACAGTGGCAATGGAACTGGGGTGTGATTTAAAACAACTATTCTTAACTTTGAGGATATAGGGTTTAGGGGAAAGTGTCTGCAGTCAAGAAACATCTAAACAAAAGGGGATGTATACTCACTGAGTCGCTCCCGTGAAACTTTGGAAAGGGGAAGGATGTCGTAGCGCACCGTCTGATACTGTATTACCTGCCGCAGAGACAAGACAAAACACAATGTGATCATCTTTACCTGGGGAGACACGCCACGCAGATTCATGCTTGCAACCCTCATAGACAGGGAGCCAAAGCCTGAAGGTTCAGTTCTGTATCTTCACCTACACAGAAGTAACCTCACCAGGAAACTGGATGACTAAGACATTTATTGGCGCAGATGGATTTGTGGGAGAGTCTGCTCTGTACCAGATCTTTGGTGACCTTTTTGATTTGGAGATGCTACAAAGAAAACTGGGACACGAAGCCTTGGAGGTGAGCAACACCACAGGGCAAGTGACTCCTTTCTTTCCTCCAGAACAGTTCAGGAGGAGTTGAGGGTCAAAAAACAAAACTCAACCTTTTGGGGGCCACATCTGCTTTATTCCTGGAGTACTGCTGCTCTGGGCCAGAGTGAAGAGAGAGGGGTTCAGGAAGGCAGTTCCACCTTGTCTCCTGCCTATGACATCAGTTGGGAGCCCCTCTCCCCAGCACCAACTACTGCTCTGGGCCAGAATGAAGAGATAGGGGGCCAGGAAGGCAGTTCCACCTTGTCTCCTACCTATGCCATCGGTTGGGGGCCCCTTTCCCCAGCACCAACTGCTGTTCTGGGCCAGAGTGAAGGGAGAGGGGTTCAGGAAGGCAGTTCCACCTTGTCTCCTGCCTATGCCATCAGTTGGGAGCCCCTCTCCCCAGCACTAACTGCTGCTCTGGGCCAGAGTGAAGAGAGAGGGGGCCAGGAAGGCAGTTCCACCTTGCCTCCTGCCTATGCCATCAGTTGGGAGCCCCTCTCCCCAGCACCAACTACTGCTCTGGGCCAGAATGAAGAGATAGGGGGCCAGGAAGGCAGTTCCACCTTGTCTCCTACCTATGCCATCGGTTGGGGGCCCCTTTCCCCAGCACCAACTGCTGTTCTGGGCCAGAGTGAAGGGAGAGGGGTTCAGGAAGGCAGTTCCACCTTGTCTCCTGCCTATGCCATCAGTTGGGAGCCCCTCTCCCCAGCACTAACTGCTGCTCTGGGCCAGAGTGAAGAGAGAGGGGGCCAGGAAGGCAGTTCCACCTTGTCTCCTGCCTATGCCATCAGTTGGGAGCCCCTCTCCCCAGCACCAACTGCTACTCTGGGCCAGAGAGAAGAGAGAGGGGGCCAGGAAGGCAGTTCCACCTTGTCTCCTACCTATGCCATCAGTTGGGAGCCCCTCTCCCAGCACCAACTGCTGTTCTGGGCCAGAGTGAAGAGAGAGGGGGCCAGGAAGGCAGTTCCACCTTGCCTCCTGCCTATGCCATCAGTTGGGAGCCCCTCTCCCCAGCACCAACTGCTGCTCTGGGCCAGAGTGAAGAGAGAGGGGGCCAGGAAGGCAGTCCCACCTTGCCTCCTGCCTATACCATCAGTTGGGAGCCCCTCTCCTCAGCACCAACTGATGTCCTGAGCCAGAGTGAAGAGAGGGGGGCCAGGAAGGCAGTCCCACCTTGCCTCCTACCTATGCCATCAGTTGGGAGCCCCTCTCCTCAGCACCAACTGCCTCTCTGGGCCAGAGTGTAGAGAGAGGGGGCCAGGAAGGCAGTCCCACCTTATCTCCTACCTATGCCATCAGTTGGGAGACCCTCTCCCCAGCACCAACTGCCTCTCTGGGCCAGAGAGAAGAGAGAGGAGGCCAGGAAGGCAGTTCCACCTTGTCTCCTGTGCTATGCTAATAATATAATATAAGATATTGTATACACATATATTTATAATATTATAATGTAATACAATGTAATACTACTACTATTACTAATAATAATACAATGTTATAATTATATATTTCATATTATATGTAATATTACTTTTTTTGTCGTGTCAGGAGTGACTTGAAAAACTGCAAGTCGCTTCTGGTGTGAGAGAATTGGCTGTCTGCAAGGACGCTGCCCAGGGGACACCCGGATGATTTGATGTTTTATCATCCTTGTGGGAGGCTTCTCTTATGTCCCCGCAATTGGGAGCTGGAGTTGATAGAGGGAGCTCATCCGCCTCTCCCCGGATTCGAACCTGCGACCGGTCGGTCTTCAGTCCTGCCGGCACAGGGGTTTAACCCACTGCGCCACCGGGGGCTCCATGTAATATTACTAATAATATTATTATATAATGGTATAGTACAATATAGTAATGTATAATACTGATATTTTGCTATGCTAATAATATATTGTATGTGTGTGTGTATCTTGTAGTTTTCTAAGATTTACAGAGACACTTGCCGGAACACCTCAGCAAGCGAGAATCCAAAAGTGGCAGGCTCAAACCCAGAACCTCAACCAATGGCTGATACCAAATGAGAGACTCCCCCCTGGACACACAGAAGACAGGACGACTTGGAAGTCGCTGAACAGACTGCGCTCTGGCACCACGAGATGCAGAGCCAACCTTCAGAAATGGGGCTACAAAGTGGAATCCTCGACATGCGAGTGTGGAGAGGAGCAAACCACTGACCACCTGCTGCAATGCAACCTGAGCCCAGCCACATGCACAAGGGAGGACCTTCTTGCAGCAACACCAGAAGCACTCCAAGTGACCAGATACTGGTCAAAGGACATTTAATCAACTACCAAACTCACACATTTTGTCTGTTTGTTTTGTTTTGTTAGAAATGTAATATAATCGACTGGTTGCACTGACACGATAAATAAATAAATATATCTTGTAAGCTGCTCTGAGTCCCCTTCAGGGTGAGAAAGGCGGCATATAAATGCCGTAAACAAATAAATACTGAAGCCATTGCTTGAGAGAACAGCACTGTCTCACACAGAGACTGCAAAGGCCGCCCAGTCCAAACTCCAGTCATGTAAGCTCTTTGAACTAACAGCTCCAAGCCCTGGCTGTTTGGCTTCAGGTCCTCCATTTGGGGCTGGGGAGGACAATGCTGCTGTATTAGGAAGTTACAGCTCACTTCTCCCCAAGAGGTAACTTTTCTAACCTCTGCTCAGAGACGGACTGGGTGGAGAAAAATGGGGAGAGCACAAATTAATGGCAGAAGCCACAGCGAGGGCAGACTCTTGAACATGCCCATAATTTGCCGGCTGAGAAGGGAGCAAAGGGCAAGACGGCTGCCAGTCAGAGTGGACAGCCCTGGGCTGCAAAGCAGGGGCCAATGGGAGGACTCGGCTGACAGCGGCTCCTTATCTTGCCCTCCTCCATGTCTATTTTTGCCTCTCACCTGCTCTGCTTCCTCCTTAGGAAGGGTATTGAGATGGGCACAGACCCAATAACCTTAGCTCTCTCTCACACAGACACACATACAGACACATAGAGATATATAAGAGCTGCCCCTCCCATGCCCCTTGAAAGGTATCCACAAGTCTGTACAACTGACACCTCACTGCTTCACAAGGTCCCCTTCCAAAATTATCCAACCCGGCCCCTTGAGGGTGGGAAACCGTCCAAGCACATGGCCAAAGTGCTGAAACTGGCTACTGAAAGGCGAGGAGGGAGAGACGAGAGGCTCAGGAAGGAGACATTTAGCAGAATGAAGGAGGGGAGGGGAGAGGGACTCAGCAGGGTCCCAGGACAAAAATGCCATTCGCAAGGGGAAGGGGACAGTCCTGACCTGATCTCACCCGCTGCAAGGGTAGGAGAGGGCATCCTGGGTGACAGAATCACAAGGTGTAACAGGAGGGAGAAATGCAAGAGAATGCCAGGTACAATCCCATAATTCCTCCTCCACCACAAAATTCAAGCTCCTCTCTGAATTTAAGTACAATCTCTGCAATAAGTATATTCTCTCCGATTATTATTTATTATTTAGAGCGTTTATAACCCGGACTTCTCGACCTCCGAAGAGGGATTCAGGCCGGCTAACAGCAGAAAATTCAACACAAATATAGTAAACATAATAGCATCATAATACATTAATACAAAATACATTAAAATACAGATCATACAATATCATACAATTACAAAAGCCAGGTCGTCAGAATAAAATCACAAATTCATCACCATCTGCCGGTGTGGTCAGCCGTTATTGACTCGATCATCATTCTGCAAATGCTATATTCCAAAGCCAGGTTTTTACCAGCTTTCTGAAAGTCAGGACGGAAGGGGCAGACCTAAACTCCAATGGGAGAGAGTTCCAGAGCCGAGGGGCCACCACCGAGAAGGCCCTGTTCTTCGTCCCCACCAGACGTGATTGCGAAGGTGGTGGGACCGAGAGCTGGGCCCCTCCAGAAGATCTTAACAACCTTGATGGTTCATAGGGGAGAATCCGTTCGGACATGTAAACTGGGCTGGAGTCGTTTAGGGATTTATAGGTCAACACCAGCACTTTGAATTGTGCTCGGAAGCTAATTGGCAGCCAGCAGAGCTAACGCAGCAGAGGAGTAGTATGCTCCCTGTACCCCGCTCCTGTTAGTAATCTGGCTGCTGCTCGTTGGACTAGTTGAAGCTTCCGGGCAGTCTTCAGAGGCAACCCCACGTAGAGAGCGTTGTAGTAGTCTATATGGGATGTAACCAGAGCGTGGACCACTGTGGCCAAGTCAGACTTCCCAAGGTATGGGCGCAGCTGGAGCAAAAGTTTTAATTGTGCAAAAGCTCCCCTGACCACCGCCGAGACCTGGGGTTCCAGGCTCAGCGATGAGTCCAGGATCACTCCCAAGCTGTGAACCTGCGCCTTCAGGGTGAGTGTAACCCCGTCCAGCACAGGCTGTAACCCTATGCTCTGTTCGGCCTTTCAACTGACCAGGAGTACCTCTGTCTTGTCTGGATTTAGTTTCAATCTGTTGTCCCACATGCAGTCCGTTACAGCGGCCAAGCACCGGTTCAGGACTTGAACAGCCTCCTTAGTAGCAGGTGGGAAGGAGTAACAGAGTTGGACATCATCTGCGTACAGATGACACCGAACCCCGAAACTCCGGATGATCTCTCCCAATGGCTTCATGTATATGTTGAACAACATAGGGAACAATGGTAGTGTTGTGAACTATAAGGGCCCTCCAGTTCACACAGGAACACCCAATCAAAGCACTCCCAACATA